AAAAAAGCCTAAAAGGCATTGCATAATTTTAAATATGTAATTATAATTTACTACTATAAAATACGCGCCTGTCTCTAGAACATCAGACATGCATACAGATAAGATCATTTTGGCATTTTCCTATGCATTTCCCTATCCACTAAACGTCCGGTGAAGTTATTTCGGGAATCTTCTTCCAGTAAACGTGTGGGCGTTTGACGTCAATTAGCCCGCGTCTACCGCACGTCTTTATTACGTTTTACTATAAAACAATAATATTCTGTTATACCAAATAAAAGAGTAAAGCGGAAAATCTTTTTTGTGTAACTCAGAGTCGATTAAATGGCCACTTAAACAGACTCTTAGAGCACATTTGTAATACTAGCGAGTCCTCTTGTTTAGAGTGTGTTGAGGTTTGGTGGTTACTATTGCGGTATTTGAATAAAGATCCTTAGATGAATATTTTTAAAATATATTGAGAAATCGGTAAATAGTTTTTATAATATAATGCTATTTGTAATTAAAAGTGTGAGAAATTCCTAAACATAGGTATTTTTAATACATTTTCCGCTTATACCTTGGACCATAAGTCAAAGGCGGCCTAAAATAACCTCTCCTTTCTTACTTCACTTGTTCCGCGGCTCGGGTAAAATATGATTTCAGTTAATACGTACGTAAGCAAAACTCCAGATAAACTAAATATCTATAATATTGGCAAATAATCTAGATATTTGCAGCTGAGTAGGAAATAGAAACTGGTGAAGTGAATACAAAGATTCCTTTGTATTTGCTGCGTGTTTTATTTTCGAAGCATTTGGATATATTTGAAGCCTAATGAGGACGAACTACGTATTGAGAGGTCGTGGATTCGAAGCCCACAAGCGTTATATTGTGGTGAACTGCATCATAAAAAGGTTACAAACCTAACCTGTAATGGTTACACTAGTATCTATCTATACTATTATAATAAAGCGTAAACACACACTTCTTTGTTGCCTAAGATGTCAGCAATTATAGCATATTTTTGAATAATCCTTTCTTTTTTTAAAAGTTCTATATTTGCGACACGCTTTAGGCTATTTATTTTCACGCTTTTAACTTAGAGGCGTAATAAATTGGAAAAAAACCTTCATGTTAGAAAGGGACTACAAATTGCAAGCTGCCAACATTAAAGAAACAAGGTTATTATGGTAACTTTGACATTTTTAATTGAGAATTTGACAAATGTAAACAATGAAATATAGTTTTTATAATTTCATACCGATGAAGTAACACGAAAACAGCTTGTTAAGTATAAAGTGGGCATATCCATGCCAGTAACTGGCATATCTGCGTAACGTGTACTGGCATGTGTCAATTATCTTGTATGCAAGTAGCTAGCTCGATGTTTGTTTTTAGTGGCATGTGCCTTTAAAGTATATCTGACCTTCTTTCTTCTCCTCGATGGTGACCTTCTTCTCGGGCGCGCTCTCCTCGATGCCCATGGCCTTCATGTTGTCTGTGCGCTCCTTGGCCGCGCCCATGAAGGCGCGCGGGTCCGACAGCGCCGCCATGAAGTCTGCATACATACATATCCATACATACAAACTGTGAGCAGTGTGCTTTAATTCCAGTAAAGTGTGAACTGTTAAATAAAGGAATTATTAAATTTAGGGAAATGAAAAAAGTAAGTTTACTAGTTACCTAAAATGTTAATTTAAATTGTATTTGTACTCTAAATATTCAAAACATTTTTATAGATAAATCTGTACTTAATTTTTTTCAGCAAATGTAAACAATATCTAAAGTAACAAAAAGTTAATAGTAAAAAGTAGTGTAAAAGTATAGTGGTGTATTTGTGTATTAGAGCATTGGTGTAAAAGTATATCGGTGTATTAGTTTAAAAGTATATTGATGTATTGGTGTATTGGTGTATTGATGTATAAGTGTATTAGAGCATTGGTGTAAAAGTGTATCGGGGTATTAGTGTATTGGTGTATTAGTGTATCGGAGTATTGTTACCTTCGAACCCATCAGGCACGTATATCTTGAGGTCGATGTTGGCGAAGAGCATGGGCAGCGACATGGGGAAGTTGGCCTCCGTGCGCAGCGAGATGTGGCGGTAGCCCGCCTGCAGCCCGTCCAGCGGCAGGATGCGCTGCCCCAGCAGCTTGCCGCTCTCGTCGTACACGCCGAACCGCAGCACCGCCAGGTCCGGCAGCACCACCTGCGGCACGTCATACATCACCAAGCGGCCCACATCCACGTGTACACACTGCGTGTGTACTGTGACGTCACATGTCGCTACGCAGTAGTAAATACGACACGCCGTGCACTGTGACGTCATATATTACCATGCAGCAGTATATGCGATACACTGCGCGTGTACTGTGACGTCATTCGCGCCACACGCGGGCTATTCCTATGGATATTGACGTTATACCTCCCTATTACACTAGAGATTTGTTTTTAGCAAAATTAGTGATGAATGTTTTCTTTGTATTTTATGTTTAGACACTCATGAATATGTATTGCTATTCACAAATGGGGAAAGGAATTGGCTCCTGCAGCACAGGGGAACCTAGTGCAGGAGCCGAGGCTCTCATGAAATGTGTTTTTTAAAGTGAAATAATAAAGGATTAATAATAATTTAATGTTCAGGCTTTACTTTTACACTCAATCATTAATTGTTCATTAAGAATGATACTTAGGGTATATTTCTCAAAATAAATCTACGCTACAGGGAAGACTTTACTTAGAGTGTCATCTACCATATTGAGCCAATGAGATTTCATTGACAGATACATACTTTAATTTCCCAACAAAGTGCAGGTTGCATCAGGTTTTTTCATCGAAAGGACGTGGGATAATATTTATACTTAGCCTGAGATCTCGTTTTTTTCGTAAATTCCTGACTAACCTTACGGAAGAGGAAGGGCTCCTCATTGTAGACGGGGTTGAGTCCGTTGGCGGGCACCATGCGCGTGCGGAACTCCTTCCTGATGGTGTCTGAAGGTAGACCGTACATGTCCACCTCCACGTACGTGCCCACCTTCTTGTCTGATAAGAACTGACCCGCTATCACCTACGGACGAAGAAAATATATATGTACAATCAGGGAAACTGCCGG